GGGAGAAGAGGAAAAAAAAGAGTGGTGCGGACGTTGAAGTGTGGATAAAAATCTCTGTTTAATAATGTATCGCTGCGTATCCATCTTTTTTTCCTTTCTTTTTTTTTTTTTTTTTTTTTTTCTTTTTATTCATTTCCACCCTAAAAGGCTCGAATCCATTTTCGAAATGGTTTTCGTTACCAGTCGGATAAAGTCTATCACGTCGAGAACGGAGATATCTGAAAAATGTTTTATATCCTTCAACGCACCGAATACATCGAACGTCCTACTATTTTCATGCTAAAATCCACGGGGTTTCGATCTCGTTATATACCCCGTTTCTGACTTTATCGACATTCGTCTTCTATATCTCGCGCTCGCGTGAATATGCATACGCGATCTTAAGAAACTTTATCGTGCATGCGTCAGTCGGCTGAGGATGAATAATTTTTTTCAGAGGATAAATCGAACGTCTAGACGGGAATTTAGCGACGACCGTTGTGCACCCGATGGATTTTGATCAGGTGGAAAGTCGTGAAAGACTTTGTGTGAAGATTATTTCAATAACATTTGAAGGAACTGTAGAAGTACTATAGAAATCAAAGTCGAAAGATCGGTAACTCCGAGGCTTTTCAAATCAAAGGGAACTCCACATTTTGAAATCTTGGAAGATTACAAACTTAGAATCTGGGAGACCCGAAAATTTCAAGCTTTCGACTAACGATCAAGAATACTTCGTCGCAGATCCCCGATAATTAAACCAAGCAGCTTGTTCCAATTATTTACTAGCAGCAACATTGCCAAAAAAGCATGCACCAATTTATCAACCGTTCCATCGATTAAAACCAACCGTGTTTTCCTACTGCACGCTAAGCGAAGGTCTAAATAATTGAGATGGATATTTTATCGTTGTCCTGTCAGGTTTCCATGAACACGGAAACGCCGTGGTAGTTCGACATGACGAGCGAAACAGACCGAGTGGGCGAAAGAGAGGGGCAGCGAACACAAATTCGGTGAAATTTGAAATCGAGCAAAATCGCTGGAAGGCAATGGCGAAACAAATTTCAGCCATTAGCAGCCGACGGAGGATACATGTCACGCGGTGGTTGTCATCAATACAAATATCTGCGCGAGATACCTTCCCCATCCCCCTGCCTTCCCCCGTCCGCAGAATTGCATGCACGATCTCATACATGGAAAAAAACCTCACGAATTTGTTCGATAAAATTCGTACACGCTGACTGTGTCCCGCGAACATTTCCCGTGCTAACCGGAAGCCTCGGTGCTTCCTCGTTCCGTTCGGATGGTTCTGGTCTAGGTGAGAAACTTTTCAGAGCAGACTTAGTTGCATGTAGGTAATCTGAAGAGATTGTAATCTTGTATCTTTAAAAGTGTAATTTAAAAAAAATCGTTCCGTCGAATATCATAGCTATACAATATTTGCGACCAGTTTCGTAACCAGTACGTTAAATAAAAAGCTATGCACACGTAAATTACTAGTTTAATCACTCTATCGTTTCTCCAAACGATAGAATTTGATTGAAAAAGGGAATAACCTCTCTGTGTTTGCAATTACGGTATTATGTTTCGAATCAGTAACATAGTGGGATCATGGAGGCACTCAAATCTATCAAAGTGTTAAGAACCAAATCATGGAGGAACGAATCTATGAAACAGTACTACCACTTGAGTAATTGTTAGGACTGCGTGGGTGGGGATATAAAACGCGGGGATCTCCCTCTAAAACAGCTGTTACCTCGAGAGCGGATTCCCAGAGCTCTCGTGTCTGCGCCGGACAGAGAGAAGCCGAGGACACAGCGCGAGAGTGCTCCTGGATTTAAATACAATAACCCGGGGCTATTGTAAAAAATATACACGGCCACGTGCACGCGACTGCACACCAATGGCCGAACCTTATGCATGCGGCTCGATCGCTGGTATTTCCACTCGCCAAATAACAAGTATACACTCGGAACCCAATCACGCGTGTTATCCCATATTCCACTGACCATTGCACCCGATCCTCGAGGATCCATCGCGTACATGATCGCGCATATCCATGTATCACGTTAATAATCGATCGATTTTTCAAATAATTTTCTCTCCTTGTCTTCCTTTCGCAAGATTTCGGAAGAGTTTCAGCAACTTGCAAGACATATTGGTTATTTTACGTCCATTTAGCAGGTCCATTCGTATTTCCTCGACGAATGCGACATAGTGCGAAAAAAAACTATAAGTAGAGAATGGTGTACCGGGAGAATATATTTCTAAAGACGAGATGAAATTTTTCGGAAACATATTTGAACTTTGTCCCTCCAATCGAATATCGTTTTCTAAGGATATTATTCCTCGATAAACAGTTCTCGCTCTATTCGACGACTAAGAATCCCGAGTTTTCGAATGTTATAAATACAATCTCTCCGAAGCACAACTTCTCTTGAGAAGAAGAGGAATATGCCACATTTATTCACCCAATAAATATAAATAGTGATTAATATTCGTTTACAACGTGTCACGATATTATCTAATATTATTAGTACGAGTCTCTGAATTTTAAATGTTGCGAGCGCGAATGGAAGATTAGTTTAAATCATCATTAGCTCTGTACGCAGGGGGAATCGAAGCAACGATTGCCGAAGGAAAGAGGGGGGTGGGAGAGGGTTTGATGTGTACACACGTATCTGTACGCGAGTGCAAACGTGGCCGCGCATGTAATATGCGATGTAATCGCATTCCTATGCATGTAACAAACCCTGTAGATACAGTGGATTGTCTAATGGACGACACATGTTATATATTCCACCAGTATCGATACCATAGGGAGATTACTCTGATCCACGTGTTTCGCACCGTTATCATTCGCCCGCATCCTTCGTGATTTTTCATAACTTAATGGGGCATTAACGTATTGAACGAGAGGGGGAGAGGGGGGTGGAGGCGAGCAACAAATATTGGAGAGTCACTTTGTAGATTAAGTGATCCATCATGCAACCACTCCTGCTGTACTTTTATCTACCATTCGTCCGTTTATGTTTAAGTTATTTTTTGTTTTCGCCGCTTGCGTGTGATAAAACTTAATCGAAACTTTTAGAATCAAGTTGTTTGATAAGCCGATTGCACGTTACGTTTGTCTCGTGTTGTCGGGCTAATCTAATCTAACACGAAACGATCTTTCGATAAAGATTTTTGAAATAATTTATCTCACCAAGAGAATGGTTAATTCTCTATTTGGAATGTTGTGAAACTTTCAAGAACACTCGAAACAAGATATATTGGAATATTTACACATAAACATCGTGACAGTCTAGAGTAGCGAATATTTACGAAATAAATTCCAAGAACAAGGAGTAATGGTTGCTTATAGTTTGATTGAATTTAATTACCAACAAAACGATGACGGAGAAAATACTAGATCAAAGAAACCATCTAATCAAAAGAAGAAAATTTCAGCGTTGCGTGAGTACACAGTGAGGAAGAATTCCTCTCTATGTAGGAATTCGCGAAAGGTACGAATGATAAGGGACACAATAGTCGACGGAGCGTTTCTGTATATTTTTCCAGCGCGTATAGAAATAGCGTCTCTGCACATACAAAACGCAACGGCGAGAGCTTGAGAGCTTCGGTATCGATGACGCTTCGGGACTGTTCGCGTTTGATTGAACACGAAACAGTGCTACCTAACTTGAAAAAGATCTTTGAAAGAGGAAAAAAGATTTCCTCACTTTATACGTCTTTACGTAATCCCTTCTTCTTTGCATACATTTCAATGCTTTCACGCTGGATGCGTCTGAACGTAGTTACATATGCGACAAAAATTCTTTTGTCCAGATCAGTTTGCAATTGTTCATCGCTGTCTGTCGAACGAGATCCGAAGAATATCTCGATTAAAAAAAAGTAAGAAATAATAACAGAGAATATCTCCGATCATTTATTATACGTATATGTCTATTATTTTACAAGTAAGTGCGTAGGATTATTTCGTATAAAACACGTTTATCGTACATCGCTAAGTTTATCACTGTTGTGATCTCCTCTTCTTTGCTTTCATCTGTATTCTACGACTTTTCCCTACTCTCTGCTTAGATTTTCCTCCTTTCTTTTTCAAATTTTTCCCTGGCTTCAAAGGTCTCCTGTATTCTGCAACGTCTGCAGAACTTGTCCTTGTATTCTTCTTGCTATCACGTTTCTTTCCACCGAAACCATACTTAGCATCCCTCATTTTACGCTTGGCTGCTACTTTCTGATCTACAGTCTGACTCTGTGATTTCTTTTTGTCATTTAAAAAGTCTAAGTCTTTTCTCACGCCCTTGCGATACTTTTTAACTTCTTCTAGTAATTTTCTCTTCTCGGCATGCTTTTTCAGAGTTGCTTCTATCTGCATTTGCTTTCCTACTTTCCTCTGTTGCCTCAGCTGTCTCACTTTCTCTGATCTTTGCGCTATTGTTTGCTGTTTCATTAAATTCTCTCTGATTTTTTGCATATGGACATCTGATTTTGCCATTTCAGCAAAATAATCATCCGGCCTAATTGTTGGAACGCCAAGTTTCTTCAATCGCACAATTGCATCCATAACAGCACCCTGTGCTTGTCTGTGAAACATTGTTTCCCTGCGAAAGTCGTTCAGAACAGGGTCATCGGTTGGATTGTATTGAGGTAACTTCTTATTTCCTTGCAACTGTTTCGCGCGTCTCACTTCTTGTTCCTGCATTTGTAATGCCAACTCTGGCGCTAAAGGTGCCAATGCATTAACCATATCTAACCTTTCGATCCATGGCAAATCCAGCTTAAATTTCTTTAACTTGTTTTTCATAAGATTCTACAAATAATTTCAATCATAAAAATGGCTCCCCTGTCACTTTTTTTAAAGATAAAATATGTTTAGGAATTGATCAGTTAAATTAATTCAAAACTATCTTCGTACTTACGACACAGTTTTTATGTTCTTTTTTGTTTTTCTCAATTACAACATTGAGACCTGGTTTTAATAAACCTTTCGCATAAGCTTCTCGCAGCTGTACACGTGAAAAAATATAGGTTAGAAAAAGACGTGATAAAACTAAGAAATGTATTCAGTATATTTACTTCTTCATCTGATGAATTGTACTCTGAATCTGATTCAGAAGATGCTTGTGTTTCTTCAGTATGTAATACAACCTTTTTCACTTTCATTTTTTATGTTAAATTTAAAAGACAAACACAAACTCAAAATTGGTATAGTAAACAATGCATTCTAGGCATCATCTAGCGCTATCTATTGGAAATATAAGAGTAGATTCAGGTTAGGTTCAAACATGATGCCTAAATAATAATCAAATTTTCTAAACTATTTCCAAGTATAATCAAAATAGAATGTTCAAAAAATTTTTCCCCAATAATCATTCTTATACGTAAAAGTTAATAAAAATTATATTATATTTAAAATTGTACTATATTCATAAAAGCTTTTTGTACTATAAAAATTATTTTGACATTACTTTTAGCTTTATTATAAACGATTCTATTTAAATCTATAATGCAAATTGCACACACAAAATTATATCCTTGAAACGTGTGGAAAATTCAGTATCCAATAAAAAGAAATTGCATGTCATTCTAAATCAATTCAACCAATTGCAAATCGTATACTCTATTAATTATTGTTTGCTGTCGCAGTAAGTAGCGTTATCAGTTATAGTAAAAGTAATGTGTTATCAGTTATATAAGGGACAATATCAGATATCTTATCTCTCAATCCATGAAAAAAATGTGAAAAAGAAAATGTGAAGCCACGTAAGGATTAATCGCGTTGGCAATTTTAGTCTAGACTGTACACTTCGATGCGCAGAAATCCCGCGAGACTCATCTCTGACGTATATTATACTCTATGCCAACATTTTTTTGTTACAGCTGGCTAACGACAGCGAAACATCATGACGGATAGCGATAAGAAACCAATGTCACGCTTATTGAAGCTCGCTAACAAATTCAACTGCTTCTACCTGTCAGGTAAGCAAAATCGTTCCACTTAAACGTATCTGCCCTCTCTATATGTTCCCTTAACGATTTTATAGTGATTAGCGCATAGAAACGCGTGGCTTTCCGTCCAGTCTACTGAGATATTGATTTCGAGTCTGTTGTATATTCTTTCTCGTATTTTCAGCGAATTAATGAGAATTGGGTCTACTTTTTCTAAAAACGTAGGTGATTTTTCACGATCATTTCATGATACTCACTCCCTACTATTATGTATATATGATTCTATTCTTTTTTGGTAATAAATATTTTGAGTACTATTGTTGCTATATACACATTTACCAAAGTAGATGTCAAGGATGTGTATCATGTATTTGTATGAGTTGACCTATATTATCATCTGTTTTCTCATACAATTTAAACAGATGTGCAAATATAGACTGTATGTACTTAATGAATATTTATGAGAAGCACTGTTTTTCTGTAGCTTTAAGTTTTCTTATTAACGAACAAAAACTTCTTGTTTATTGTATATTATTTATATTTTACATTTTAAGTTGAATTTTATTCTACAGTGTTACTAACTGGATGACAAGTAGTCTTAAGTCTCCGATATCTTTTAGGTTTTCATGCAGGTGAATGCAGAGCCTTTGTTGTTGACGGACAACAAGTTGGTCTTGTTCGTCCAGATGTAATGAAAGAATTGTTAAATTATCCACAGGTAATTCTGCATATAAAATTGTAATAGATGACACGTCTATTAATATGTTTATATAATCTTAATTATGTCTGTTTAAAATATTTCTCAAAGGTATTTCAAGTACATCCTGAGTATGTGCAATTAAATCCAGCGTTCAGAGACTATGCAGAGAGAAGTGCTAGAGTCGAGGAAGTTCTGAGAGAATGGCGTGCAGGTGGAAAGTTTGTAACATTAAGAGGATGGAGAGAAGAGTGTTATGAAGTACGCGCACAATTCAATACTCCACCACTATTTAAAATGGACCGGTCTGCCACATGTATGTATTTTGTGATCGCCTATATTCGTCTGTTGCCAACTATTGTTATTTATTTCATTTAAAAGCTATTATTTCATTTTATAGGCTTGTTTGGAATTCGCAAATACGGAGTAGATATCAATGGATATGTTATGGATCCTGTGAAAGGTTTATCAATATGGTTGCAAAAACGTAGTCCAAACAAGCAAACTTGGCCTGGCTACTGGGATAACATGGTGAGTGGTGGATTGAGTGTTGGTTATGGAATCAATGAAACCGCTATAAAAGAGGCTGGAGAGGAAGCCAGTATTCCTAATAATCTTATTGCAAAATTGAAGAGCGCCGGCTGTGTGTCTCTGTTTTTTGAAAGTGAAAGGGGTCTGTTTCCCAATACAGAGTTTGTATTTGACCTTGAACTACCACCAGATTTCGTACCGAGCAACAACGACGGAGAGGTAGAGACTTTTGAATTGCTTCCAGTTAACGAATGTTTAGAAAGGATACTGTCTTCGCACTTTAAAACAACGTCGGTGCCAGTCGCTCTTGACTTTTTAATTAGACACGGATATATCACAGCGGAAAACGGTAAGCATATTTTATAAAGATACCCAATTATAGCATCAAGTAATCCAAAATTGTTCATCTCTTTTTGTTGCAGAGCCTAATTTTATAGAAATCGTGGAATTGCTTCATATACCTCTGCAGACCATTTACAATCATCCACAAAAAAAGTGTAAGATAGCTGCAAATGGAGAAGCAATCGAATCTCTAGACAGAATTTAAGTTTAACTAGTCCTTATAATTTAATACCGCGTTTGAAATTAATTGAATCGAACAAAGTTCGCTTTTTTTGTGGTTTCCTTGTATTTGGTAGATTTTTATAGTAAAACAAAGAAAGAAAAAAAATGGTGCAGTTTTATATATGTAAGGCTTGCAGAATATTTATAAATCACTAAATAATAGTTCAAGTAATCCCGAAAATCGATTCAGAGGATTTTTATGAAACTCTTGTTTCTATAATATTGAAAAATGAAAAAGAAAAAAAATACGTAATTACAACAGGTATATTGATCGTAATATTTTTACTCATAGATATAATTCCTTTTGTTATGACTTGAGTAGTTTTTATATAATAACGATGAAAGTATAGTACATTTTTTAAAAATTCCGAATATACGAATGATATTTCGAGAGTTGAACGTAGTTATTATTAACTTAACGAGAGTTTCATAGGAAAAAAATTTTAATTTATGGGTGAGTTTATTGATATTTAAAATAACTTTGTAAAATTGGCACAATACATAGTGATAATTTACGAAATGATTTCGAAACGGTTTCAATCGATTAAAAAGAAAAAAAGAAAAAAAAAAAGAAGAAGAAAGAAAGCGAATCACGTTGCATCTTCCTCTGATTTCTACCATCGAACTGAATTTTTGCACAATAACAAAAACGAAGGAATTTTCGCCGATCGTACGAATAATAATCCAAACATGTGACGACTTTTGATATATGACATCAGTGTTAAATTAGAAGTATTATTCAAACAGCATTCCAGAAAGCATAGATTAAGACTTCAGTTTCTAAGCGAGCAAAGAGGTGAAAAAGAAAAAAGAAAGAACGAAAGAGTAACAATAGTTTTTTCTAATGTTTGTAATCGAACTTTTGTACTAAAGAGAAACTTGTACACCTAACAACAACAATGAGTACATAGAATATCAGTGCAGTAATATCTCCATATTCTGCGTAGGATGTAAGATGGAACTCATTCACAGTATTATGAACGTGAATGCACAGTATACTGTTTGATATGTTTAGAATAAAAATTGAAAAAAGAAAAAACGAAGAAAAAAAAAAAAAGAAGTTTATAGACGAATTATGTCAACGTATGTGTTCTTATATTCCAGCTATGCTACCGAAAAGAAATGCTTGGATCCAGCATTTTCACTTGAACGACTTTAATTGAGAAGGGGAACAAAAGTGTTCGTATATTGTTTATTGTAATAATATAGGTAGATTTTTTAATTGAAAAGAATGATTGGTACCAAGGTTCTAATCAAAGTGATATCATTAGATTGCGGAGAAATAGCGATTTGTATAAAATGGCAAACGCAATGGTACTTTTCGTCTTTCATTTTCAGTGTCTTTAATTTAATATTTATTACTCGTTGTACTTATTCGGCGTCTAAGATTAATTTATGTATTTACCATTCTGTTTGTCAAACACACAGAATGTCTATCTTTCTTTCATTGAAAGTAAATTAATTATCAAATATTTTTATAAGTTATTGTTATTTAAATGATGCTGTGTACCATTTGCATTGCGTATGGCCTTAACTTAAGAAATGTTTTTATACTGGGATTAGTTTCTACAAGACGAAGAGTCATTAGATATGTTGAATTCAATATTATATAAATTATTGTTGTGAATTCGACATGATTACAATTGCGTTTATGGATAAGCATTATAAATGTTTTCTAAGGGATTTTTCCACCAAGACTAGAATACCCATTATGACTTGTATTATGTTAAATGTATTCGCTTCTTTTCAGTTGCTTTTATTTCAATCCACTTAGCTAAGACAGTAAGTGAGATCCGTGCTGCTTAAGTATAATCTAACATTAATTTAGTTTTTACTCGGATCAACCTGATGCGTTTAAATAAGTTCGCTATTTTTTTATAATCATATACTAGTCATATTCGTCATCGCCTTATTGTTCCTTAATCTGATCATGAAAATCTTAACGTATCTATGATTATGTTTGTTTTTAAGTGAAACTAACATTTTTGTGATAGAAATGAGTACGGCTGGCCATACTGTTTAATGCATGAATTAATATTTGTCAATGAATAAATTTAATCAAATTTACAATGTCATCGTTTCTGTCAATGAAACCTCAATGGCCATCATTTTGTATTCATCTTATCTTTTATTCATTTAATTTCAAACTTTCTTGCAAATTCAACTTCATTCAGCTCACTGACATGTTACACGCTTTCTTATGGTTTGTTTTATTTTTTTTGTTAATCGTTCATAAGGTATAAGGCGAAACTTCTGCAACCATTTCTATTCATTGCATACATAAACATTGTACTTAATTCTCATAGTCCTTTATACATATTGAATTACTACGAAATCTTTATTATAAGATGTAATCATGTAACAATCATTAAAACAAGAGAAAGAGAAAATTCAATGATCCATTAACTCAATAAATAAAGTTCAAACACTTTGTACTCTATCATTTTATCCTCTTTTATATGTAACTATATTGCCATACTTGTTACTTGAAGATAAGTGATGTAATTCTTTGAAAAGTTCTTAAGTATCTTTAAATTTCAAAAAGATACTTATTACTAGCGCAATAAGAATATAATTTTAGAGTGAATTAAACAATCTTTCGCTTCAAGTTGAAAGCCCAATTCTTCTTAAATAGTTCCTAAATACCTAGAATATTTAGAAAAAATAATATTAATACACTTTATTAAAAAGACTAATTTTCTTTTACATTTTTCAATTCTATAAAGTAATTAGCATTAGAGCATGATAGAGATATGGCAGTTTCCGGTATATTTCAAAAATCTATGCGACGAAAAAATTTTCCAGTATAAAAGCAACAAATAGGCAAGCTAGTGGGGATGCTCGAAAGGGAAAAATAAACAAAATGTGCTAGAAGCTTGGTGGGGAGGCTCGACTTTGTCAGAAGAAACAAAAATCGAACAAATCACTTCCCTTTTGAACATCATTGGGGTAACAGTCCCGTAACTATTCTCTGTTACTTCCTGTTGAAGTTCGGCGTTGCGTTGCGAAATTTTCATTTACGCTTAATTAAATTATCGCTAACTTCAGTGGATAAATTCAATGAAATAAATGTATCGTGTAAAGTGCTACCTGATTCATCACGGTGAACAAACGACATAATTTAATTACTTTTCTACGTTCGTAAATAATAATATTGCTTATTATTACAATTTTGTGCAATTTTTGAGAATGAGGTGCATCGAGGTTGCGTCATATTGCGAAAGTTATCGTTTTATTTCCTGGTTATTCTCCTATTTGTCAATTTCAATGAATTTTGAACTTTAGTTGATTCGAAAAGTTTGTTAAATTTTTGTAATTTAACATTTATACGAGAGTATAAAAATTTACGAAGATTTACGAAACAGAAACAATTTTAATTATTTTAATTATTCTCTATGTTACCATAATTTTGTATGACTTTGTGAAATATAAAGAGAAACAGATGAGATTGTATAGAAAATACAATTTTTTGATTATTAATAACTGTTTCTATTTTCTTTTAATTTAATTTAATTTAATTTTATTTTTTTGACCATGAGTTCTACGACATTTTCACTGAAGTCTACATCTCCTTTAACAGCCTCGGAAATTTTGTCAAGATTTGAATGTTTCATACATTTGGCGATAGGTGAGTTATTAATTATTTTCTCTGTAGTTTTATATCTTTCTATTAGTTTATAAATCACCTGACATATACAGAATCTTAGTATTTTTGAAAAATATTTTATTATACATACAGACTACGGATCTTTATGTAAATTTATATTTTTATAATAAACAGAACATATTTTACTTTAAATATTTTATGCATTTTTATAAAAAAAAAAAAAATATTGTAAACATGCAAAAGATCTATAGTCCAATAATGAATATACTAAATTCATGAATATACTTAAATGAAAAAAAGAAAGCATTCTGTGAACATATTCTGCGCCATGTTGTCTCCGATCTTGCTATTTTTTCAAATTATGTTGGTCAGAGATAATCTATCCAAGATGTTCGTCACATTAAATTATATTCTACAATGACTATAAAAACAATTATTTTTAAGCAAAATGGCCTAATCTACGAAATATTGTAACTGTATATCGATAGATTACATCAGATAGCTTTTCATAAATATTTCATTGAAATATCGAACAACTTCAATGGAAAGATTATCAGTGACCCACACGATATAAAACACATTGAATCAGCATATATAATCGATAATATTGATGAAGAAAATGTAATAATTCAACAGCATAGGCACGCTAATATTTCATATCTCAACAATGGCGTAACGTAATACAGGTATAATTTTTCTATCACTTACCATTTCTTCAAATATTGATGTCCAAAAACAATTGAAAGCCGTACATCGGTACAATTATGATCCAGAGTGATTGCTTCACGATTCACGTACACAATTCACGAATATTAAACACTTTTACCCCGTTAATTTTTTAATTAAACAGCACTTCGAGCGGAACGATGTTCCAAATCGCGACGACCGACGCTTAACTGTAGTTTTAAAATTTCGATAATCAGAAGCACTCCATTTCGATTTCAGCGCGCTAATCGATAGGTGTTCAAATTTTGATATTTGAATTGAACTCTAGTGGCGCGCATGCGCGCTTACGCTCGTCTAATGGAATATATGTGGAATGTCTACTGTGTGGCTGTTATTTCTGTGTTTTGATTGATAATTTGAATTTTCAAAAATAGTAGAAAATGTCAGTAGTGACAGGCAAAAGAATTTTTGCGCACTTTTGTAGCAATCATCTGAAAAAGTTATCAACGCGTTCGAAAATTGTTAGGTTCAGTTCTGTCGTGAATAACAAATTTCTTAACCTAGAAGAAAATGCGAAATGCAGCATGTCAACATGTGAATCTAACAAAATTTCTGCTGCTGTTTTGAAGAAATTCTCCGATCCCTTCGTTCTAGAAAGTATTGAACCTCCTAAAGTATTACAAGCTAATGAAGTAAGTGTCTTACGTAAAAATTAACCATTTTAAAAATTTTCAAATATTTTTGTGTTCTATTTTCATTAAATTTCAATTGTCTTTTCTGCTATTTGAATTGATTATTTTGAAATACAAAATCTGATTTATATAATATTGATATTAGGTTTTAAATTAGTGAAAATGAATTTATCATTTATGTCTATCTTGAATGAAAATAATTTATTACACCTATAAAATAAATTATAGATAGGGATTAATATACTTTTATTTTACATTACAACAATGTCTTGTAAGTTTAATGTTCTTAATAATAATAATATTTATACATATACAATTTTTTAAATTTAGGTACCTAACAGATGTTGAAAATTTCTAGTAATTATTGTTAAGTTACAAAAAAACTAATACTATAATTTCCAAGTAGTTCAAGTAATTCATCAATACAAATTAAGAGGAATATCGTTAAAAGGCCAAGCTATTAACAACTTTATATTGGCAGGTTCTTGTAGATGTTAATTATTGTGCCCTCAATGCATCAGATGCATTATTGTCAAAAAATATGTATACATTTGAACCACCTTTGCCAATAGTTCTTGGTTATGAGATTGTTGGGAAATTAGTTCAAGTTGGGCAGGAGGCAGAAAAACAAGGGTATAAAGTTGGGGATAAAATTGTTGCTCTTAACAAAGAGCGTTATGGAGGTTTAGCAGAACAATGCGTAGCAGAGGTTAATGTAAGCAAGTTTATTTAAGTCATTCATTTATATTTACATTCTATTGTAAGAAAGACTTGTAGGATATTTGGAAAGTACCATCCGGAGTACAATCCATTGATGTAGTAGGGCTACTTGATGATTATATTACTGCTTTAATGGCATTAGAAAGTAAAGTTAGCATTCAAGAAGAAGATATGATGTTAATTAATGTAGGTGTTAGCAGTATTGGTTTAGCTGCTGTTGATCTTGCTACAAATGTATTTAAAGCTGAGGTTAGATTCTACAAAAATTAATATTGATAACAAGTTTACTCTTTGTTAAGTATTGGAAGTTATTTGCGACAATTATTAATTCAGGTAATTAGTGTTTCTGCTACGGAAGATGGTGCAGCTCTTGCTAGAGACAAAGGTGTACTTGCATCTTTCAAGTATAAAGATAAAACTTTGTTAAAACAAATTGAAAAGGTAGCTGCAGAGAAAGATATTAAAGAAATCTTTGATGATGATGATGGTAAATATTTCAAAAAAGTGTTGAGTTGGTAAGTTCAAAGATAATTGACTGTGAGATTTTAGTCAAGATAAAAAAATCAGTGATAGTGGTGTTATACTTCTAGTTTTACTAATATTTACAAAGATGAAGTAATCATAAAAGATCTGTTAAGTGATGATAATTTTGCAGTTGTGCTACATCATTTGTCTCGTACAGGTACATAAGTGTTTTAGGAATTAGCTATTATTTTAAATTAAATAGAATAATTTATTATATATTACTCTTTATTATAAAGGGAGAGTAATAATTGCTGGTTCAGCAGTAACTCTAAAAAATGACTCTGACGTACCAAAGGATGGCTTTAACGTTAGTGGATTTAATTTGAGAGAATGTAGGAAGAAGAAGCCAGAGTTATATAGGTATAACAGTTTTAAAACTAAAATGTCTTGTAAATTTTGTTTTTTAATGATATATTGAGTTACGCTTAAAATATGAATTGTGATGAATTGAATAATAAATTATGAACAAAATTTATAGGACAATTTAATAGTTAGGTTTAAATTGTTTTAAGGTCTAATGATTGTTTTAATATCATATTCCTCTAATTAGACAAGCAGGGGATGATGTTTTACAATTTCTGGAAGAGGGTCTAATTACACCAACAAGTGCATTAACTGTTGGATTGTCAAAAATAAATGATGCACTGGAATTTATTCTTACATATAAATCTCCAGGGAAAGTGAGTGTAAAACGTCCAACAGTTTAGCTAGTTTTATTGATGAATACATAATATATACATAACACCCAAAATTATTAATTTCACAGGTTATTATTGATGTGAAAGATAGGATAAATTAAAAAAAAAAATAGAATATTAAAAATATCTGTGAAAGTATCTTTCACGGAATATAAAGGACATTGCAAAATAGATTCAGAGCTATATTTAAGCTTTAAATAAATTTTTTTTATTAAGTACACAAAATTATGTTAAAAATAAATCAGCTGTATCTTCTGTATTATATATTTTTAATAAATATTTTCTACTTTGCCATTGTTGAAAATGAAGATGTTGTTTCCTCAAAGTATCACATTTCCATTTGTAATTCTAATTTTCCAATTGTCAATCATTCCTTCCTCTACAACCATTTCCCCTGATCTTTATTAGCGTAGTCGAA